GGCCCCTTCAGTCCTCTTTTTCAGTGGGAGGTGAGGGTTTGGGCTGGCCTCGCCTCTCTTTGGAAGAGGGAACAGTTGATCTTCCAGTGCCATGAGCAGTCAGGCTGTGTGACACAGAGCCGGGCCTGGGTGGTGGCTTGGTAGAATCGTACACCCAGTACCCAGTCCTCATGCTTGTGAAGCGGGAACCCTTACCTTGACTGTCCTTGGATTTCCCTTTAGATGATGTGTGTATGCTTAAAGCATTGGCAGTTGTGACAGAAACAATTTTGGCCCTGGTTTCACCTCCATCCAGATCCCTAATGTGGAACCCAGAAAGCTCTGTATCCAGCCATTAGGCTGTATGGGGGCCAACCTGAAATTTTTATAATTTGCACTGAATACCTGGAGATGATTGACCAATGAAGTGATGTCCCATCAATGCCTGTCCTTCCCTGGAAAGATAAATCTACAATTCTACACAGTGGTTCCTCAATTCATGACCCTAATTCATTCCACAGTTCGGGGGAAGTTGGCCACGTTCATCTTCATGCAGGCAAGACAGCTGTGGTTGTGTTTGTCACCCACCGCAAAGTTTTGCCGAGTGCTTCTGTCTGCAAACTGAGCTGTTTGTAAACAGAAGTACCCATGAGCCAAGGTCCTGTGTACTTGCTAAAGGATTTTACTAATTGGCTATGAAAAACAACTGGATTTTCTTTTTGCACCATATGCCCCAGCTCAGCTGTCCATAATTAAAAGATTACTGGATGCCCCTTTTCATTCCCTGCACATGAGCAGCTGCCATGCCTGGCCTGGAGTCCAGCCCGCCACTAGTACTATAGTCCTAGCTTGGTTCTGCCAGCAAAATAGCAGTCTCCTCCAGGTATTCTCTTTCTGTTCCTACCCCATATTGTTTATCTGTGTATTTTTGAGCCTCTTTTAAGAGTCTTCATTCTTCAGCTAGGGACACCAGCTGGCCAAGATGAATTGGACAGCTTACCATAGCAGGGAAAAAAGCAAGAGCACAATTTGAATGTCATCTGCAGCCCTCATGAAGATCTGGGTCCCTAACCTCAGGCGTAGTTTCTGAGTCACTGGAGGGGAAGAGGATGATTCGCTGGCTCAACAGAAGCCTATAAGGAAGGGGCTGAGGATTCCACGGCATACGGTTGTGTTCCCTAAACAGGTGGGAGAGACCCGTATCTCCCAGAGAGACCCGTATCTCCCAGAGAGACAGGTGGGTGACTGAGGACAGCACCCTCAAGCAGGTCGACTCCGAGGATCCCTCTAAGTATCATAGTTTATGAGCTTTTTCAGAGATAAGGAACTACAAAACCCAGAACATAAGAGATTTTACTCTACTTTCTATGTTCTTTGAAGAAACAATCTAACTGCAGAATAGTACTGCAGTTTTGTTTTGTTTTTTTAATAATTTGATACAGGGTCTTACTATGCAGCTCAGATTCATAGTGATCCTCCTGTCTCAGCCTCCCCAGCACCAGGATTACAGGCATGTGCCACCATACCTGGGATTCCAGGGCCAACATGGCATGGGCTACCAGAGATTGAACTCAGGACCTTGCGCTTGCCAGGCAGGTGCTTAGACCACCAAGCTATCTCCCCAGCACTAGTACTGCAGTCTACACTGCCATTGTATAACCATCTGTCACCATTCTCTGCTTCTACTAGACCCAAACCACATTGCAATAGTAGAGTTGTTTCTTTTTCAGGTTGGCAAAGCAAGTCCTTCCCAATTTTGAAGGATATGGCCTCATGGCAAGGTATGTGGGACCTGAGGGGTGTTTCTTATGTTGCATCCTGAAGCCTAGAGAGAGGAAAAAAAACAACTATGTCAGGGTTCCTTCAGATGTCATCCTATACAGTAGGAGAAAGAGTTGAGAGTTCGCAACACATTTTTTTTGGCAGAACTGGGGATTGAACTCAGGCCCTTGTACTTGTCAGGGAAGCACTTATTCCACTGGGCCATCTCCCTGGCCCCACAACACTTTTGTGTGACTCACACACTAGGTAGACATCTCTGTTGAGTCAGGGGCAGCACCAGTATCTTCCTAGAACAGCGGAGCCTCCAGGGGGCCCCTCAGCCTTAGAACTCTCTGTACCATGGTCACTGGCTCCTGAGAACAATGGGTAGGGCTCCCCAGGAGCTCCCCTAAAATCTCTCAAGAGGTCAGGGTCAGGTTAGGCCCCTGAGAAATGGAAGCTAAGAGTGGAGTATTCCCTGCCCATGACTTCCCTGGTTGCCTGGGAAACAGTATCTCTTACGCTCACCCCGCCACTGGTGTGGCCCTTTGGTGAAGGCAGTAGAGGCAGAAATCTCTTTCTGCCCTGGACTGGAGAAGAAAAACATTTTTAATTAATTACCTGAATTTTTGAAACAAGGAGGGGATCCAACCCGAGTCTTCTCTATTTTTTTTTTCTATTTCTTGATAGTGAAGGCTTTTGCTCTTATTTTTCAGGATACCCCAACCACAATCCATATTTATTTTTAAGACTATGGGGACAGGGAGATAGCTCAGCAGCATAAGCGCCTACCTGGCAAGTGCAAGGTCCCTAGTTCAATGCCCACTATTGGAAAAAAAAAAAAAAAAAAGACTGCAAAGATAATAGAGGCTTCAAGATGACAAAAGAGTCAGTTGTGTGTGGAAAGGTCTTCAGCAGATTTTTCTCCTTGAACCCTCTCTGGCTCTAATTTATTTAAGCGACTGCCTTGAATTCAGAGCAAATCTGGGAAACTAATCACCATGTGACCCAGAAAGGCCACGTACCTAAGGCTGGTGGTGGAGGTAAGTGGTAGGTTTGGTTTACATGATGATTGAAACCACAATCTTATCGATTATTTGATGTCTCCGGTTTGTTATCTTCCTCCATGATGCGATGACTACGGAAGTCTGATGGAAATGTTGATGAACTCAGATCTTGCCACTCTTATTCTTGTCCTCACTAAAAATACATTGAATTCTTTTAGCTTTGGCAACTATATTTGAAATTTTTATTAATTTTTCGTTTTCTGGCTGCTTCCTTTTCACAACCCACTTTTGTTTTGCAGATAAAATATCTTGGTTTGTTGTTGTTGTTGTTGTTGTTGTTGTTGTTGTTGTTGTTTTCCCCAGCTCAGCCCACCCTGAGAGTGGGGTTGGAGCAGTGTGCAGTGCTGGGGATTGAACTGTGATCCCCTGGGTCTGCCTAAGCTTGCCTATGCAGGCACTTTAAACCACTGAGCTAACTCACCAGCCCCTAAAATATCTTCTTGAATCTGGGGGTGGCTGTCTCAAAAAATCTGCACAGATCCTTGATCCTACAGGTGGCTGGTAAGGCTGACATCTGCTGCTGAGTAAGTGTTTCTCTCCAACGCCTCAGCCCTGAGCAGAAGTCCTGGCCTGGGCCCCTGAACACACGTGCAGAATTCCTCAGATAGTTGTTCCTGCTCCACACTGCTACAGTAGCGGACAGGGAAAGGGCAGAGAAGCTGTTGCTCACTTCTAGGTGGATATAGATCCCTCTTCGGAGCCCTAGCTCCCTCCCCAGGACAAACTGCTTGACGTAGTTAGAGTAAGTGCCTAACTTCAGCCTAGATCTGACAAAGTGCAGACAGCCCCTTTACCAGCCACCTCCATTCCTGCCCTGCCTCTGGTCACTCCTCAGAGATGCCAGCTCTACAGAGAAAAGAACGCCCTTCTGCCTCTGCTACCAGTCCAACTCTGGGTCATAGTCCCAGCATAGGAACTACCCACCAGTATCGAAACACTAGCTGCTTCTTCAGGAGTGCAATGACAGGGCTGGGGATACAGTCCAGCAGCATAAGTGTCTGCTTGGCAAGCGCCAGGTCCTGAGTTCAATCCCCAGTGAAAGTGCAATGACATCCTTTACCTTTGAAGAATGCATTTCCTTCTGCCTGCAATATGTGGAGAAGGGATTAGAGAGATAGCTCAGCAGACTAAAACGCCTGCTTAGGCAAGTGCAGGGACCGCAGTTCTATCCCCAGCACCACATGCTGCACCAGCCCGGCCCCTGGGTGGGCTGAGCTGGCCAGAGTCCTGGCATCTCTGAGGAGTGACCAGCCTGGTGGTGCACACCACCAGCACTGGGGAGCCTGGAAACAGGAGGATCACCAGGAGTCTGAGCTTTGTAGTGAGACCCTGCAGCAAGTAAATACATTTTTTTTTAATGTGAAGAAGAGAAAACAAGAATATGCTTGGTCTACCAGCTTGAAACTGGAATCGTGCAAAGGACACTCCTCCTCATTGCTTTACCAGGTTCTTTCATTTGTTTTTCTGACTGATGAAAGCTCCTGGATCCTTTTCAAACCAGCTGTCCACGTGACTTCCTAGGCACCAACTTAGCCCCCACTGGGGTTAGCCCACCAATTTATTACTTATAGTATCATATGAACTTTGAAGTAACACTCATATTGGCTCAGCCGAAATATCCAGAGATTTCTAAGGCACCATAGTTAAAAAAAATTATAATTCACACATGCACTGAAATCCAACCCGAAAGAGCCTCACCTGCCTAGGCTGTGAAGGCCAGTGACCTCACGCCCCAGGCACTGCTACTTTATCCTGCTCTGTCACAAGACAGGAGTGAGGCAGCTCGTGGAAACAAACATAACATCACAATATAAGAAGTAAAAGAAATAAGGATGGTGAGATCAGGCCAAGACTAAGTAGGCCAAATACTTTTATTAAAATAATATATAGATACTTAATAAAAGTCCCAAACAGGGTACTTTGTTTCCTAACACCAGAGAAAAGAGACGTGTGGGTACTTATGAGGCGCAAAAGATGCATGAATTGTGAATAAGCCAACCAGATGCTAAGGAAGGGGGCCCCGGTCCTGAGAGGAGCCCCAAGGAACTCGGTCTTCTAGATCTTCCCTACAGCACACGATGTGACAGGACAGCTCAAGCCAAAGCAGCGCCACATGCCATCAGAAACACACGGAGAGAATCGCCACGCGGCACGACCCAGCTGGCGTCGGGCAGCGAAGGGCTCTGCACAGCCATGTTCGTGGCATGCAGCGTCGCGGTGGACCGTAAGGATCTCATCCACGATGTCTCCTTCAACTTCCTAGGGCGGCGCATGGCCACCTGCTCCAGCGACCAGAGTGTGAAGGGCCTGAGACATCTGACCCGCCTGTGAGGATGGGGGAGACCTCAGAAGGGTCCAGGGCAGACCTCGGCTTTCTTGAGGAGGAAGTCTGCAGGGCGCATTGTTTGTGTTCTGGGAAACTCTGAAATAACGCCTGAAGACAGTTTTTCATTCCTTCACTCAGGTCTGGGATAAAAGCGAAAGTGGAGATTGGCATTGTAGCTGGAAGACTCATGGTGGATCTGTGTGGCGAGTGATGTGGGCCCACCCAGAATTTGGCCAGGTCTTGGCTTCCTGTTCTTTTGAACGAACAGCTGCTGTGTGGGAAGAAATTGTTGGAGAATCAAATGATAAGCTGCGAGGACAGAGTCACTGGGTGAAGAGGACAACGCTGGTGGATAGCAGAACATCTGTTACTGATGTGAAGTTTGCTCCCAAGCACATGGGCCTCATGTTGGCCACCTGCTCAGCGGACGGGATAGTCAGAATCTACGAGGCACCCGACATCATGCACCTCAGTCAGTGGTCCCGACAGCATGAGATCTCTTGTAAACTAAGCTGCAGCTGCATTTCTTGGAACCCTTCAACCCCTCGTGCTCATGCACTCATGATCGCTGTTGGAAGTGATGACAGTAGCCCAAACGCTATGGCCAAGGTCCAGATTTTTGAATACAATGAAAACACGAGGAAATATGCAAAAGCTGAGACTCTCCTGACAGTCACTGACCCAGTTCATGACATTGCTTTTGCGCCAAACTTGGGACGGTCTTTCCAGACATTGGCAGTTGCAACCAAAGATGTGAGAACTTTCACATTAAAGCCCATGAGGAAAGAACTTACTTCCTCAGATGGGCCAACAAAATTTGAAATCCATATTGTGGCTCAATTTGATAACCACAACTCCCAGGTCTGGCGAGTGAGTTGGAACATAACAGGAACAGTGTTAGGATCTTCAGGAGACGATGGTTGTGTCAGACTGTGGAAAGCTAATTACATGGACAATGGGAAGTGCCCTGGGATTCTGAAAGGTAACGGGAGCCCAGTCAGCGGGAGCTCTCAGCAGGGAAACCCAAGTCCTTCCCTAGGTTCAAACTTTCCAAACCTTCACAGCTTGTTGAAGGGATCTTCCGCTGGCAGAAAGCTCAGCTGAGCACAAGCTAATGGATAACTTTGCTGTTTCCTGCTTGTTGAATGCACACAGGAATGGGAAGTGAGCTCCTTTTCCCCTTCCCAGCGCCTTTGACTCTCCCAAGATACACCAGCAGCCTGCTCACTACCAAGCGCAGTCCAAAGGCCTTTACCAAAACAGTGGAGACCACTTATTTGTACTAGTCACCTTACTGATGGTATTTGAAACTTCAATACAAACGGAGAGGCTTTTGGTTGAGAGACAGTCACCAAAATAATTTTTTGAAATGTTCATGAAACTAATGGGTTTAAAAATTAAAAGGATCGTTACTGTCCTTTATAAAGTAGTTGGGCAGAGGTAAACTATCATTTTATTCTATTTGAAGAACAGAAGTATATTTCTTTTGTTTTCTAAGACGATAAGCCAAAATGATGAATTTTTATAATTTTAATTTATTGAATAAATATTTTTCATAAAGGAAAAACAAAAAAGAAATACAGGGAGTGGGCTGGGGCGATAGCTCAGTAGAATAAGCGCTTGCCGGGCAAGCGCAGGGTCCTGAGTTCAATCCCCAGTACCGAAAAAAAAAAAAAAAAAGAAAGCAAGAAATACCGTAAGCCTTGCTACAGGTAGCGAAAGGCGCTTGCAGCTTGCAGAGAACCGCGCGCTGCGTCAGGCGGACGCCAAGCCGCTCGGGTTTTCCCTCACGCATGCGCACACCTCTGCAGGAGCCGCTGCACAGCCGTGTCGCACAATCTCAGCAGGAGACTGTGCACTTTGTCCCCGACCCTGAAGACGGGACTGGGTATTTTGGTCACCGCCCTCAGCATCACACCTGGCAGCTGGCGTTCTGTCAATTTTGTTGAATCATTAAATGAATGAGTTCACAGTCTATACAATCAGTCTGTCACAAGAAATCGACCCTGACCCTGGGGATGGAAGGCGGCTGGACTCTGAACGCTTTCAACTCAGGCACCAACGCAGCAGGATCTGACATTGTTATTTTCTTTTGAAGGACAACTGGGCGGTATGCCATCTCAGTCACCCACTTTTTAAAAATAAGGCTGTTTTTAATCCCTCTCAGCCATGTCAAACGCAAGACTAGGCCATCCGTACAAAAACTTTTTCCCGAAATTATTGGCTATAAAATATCAAAGATTGGGGGCCAGGGAGATGGCTCAGTGGAATAAGCGCTTCCCTGGCAAGCACAAGGGTCTGAGTTCAATCCCCGGTTCCGCAAAAACAAAAATAAAATAAAATAAAATATCAAAGATTAGTTCAAATATGGAAGATTATATATAAAAGTGTAATTTACAAGATTAAAAAAGCCCAAAGTTTTTTATTTTGGGGGGGTACTGGAAATCGAACTCAGGACCTTGTGTTTGCTAGGCAGGTGCTTGTGCCACTAAGCGACTCCCCCAGCCCCAAAGTTCTGACTTTGCACATAGCTAAATATTTCAACTGTTGTCCTAGCTACAATGACTGATACCTTTTCCAGCCAACACAGTGTTGCTCTTGATTGTCACAACAAGCCCACGAAGCGGTAGAGAGATATGAAGTCTATCTTACAAATAAGGAAACTGAGATGAGAACAATATTCTCTGCCTTACTTTGGTTTTTCTTTTGTTTGCTGAGACAAGATCTCACACTGTTGTTAAGGCTGGCTTTGAACTCTGCTGTGTAGCTCAGGCTGACTTCGAGCGTGCAGTGATCCTCCTGCCTCAGCCTCCTGAGCGCTGGGATCACAGGCGTGCACCATCATGCCGGCTCCCAGCAATAATATTCTTAAATGAAGATGGTGCTTCCTTCACATGTTCTAAGCCGCATAGATAGATGAGGTAGTATCGAAGATGCCCGCTGCAGAAGAGTGGCTGCAAATCAGCTGGTGTCAAACACAGCAGCTTATGTTACAGAACTGTAGACCTGGCACCAAATGTCAGGCTAACATAGGAATAGTTTAAAATCTACCTTTTGGGCCGGGGAGATGGCTCAATGGAATAAGCTCTTCCCTGGCAAGCGCAAGTGTGTGAGTTCAATCCCCGGTTCCACAAAAAATAAAAAAATAAAATCTACCTTTTATGTATTCTGAAGAAGTGACTTCCTAATTAAATAAAAGCTGCATGAGCTATTTACTATACCATCAAGCCATCCACCTATACTTTTTTCCAGACAAGGAAGAACAGCGACATGTCTTTATCCCTCCTTCTCTTACCCTGCTTCGAGTGAAAGAACTGGATGGGTTGACAAGTGAAGTATTCGAAAGGCAACAGCGCCCCCTACTGGTACATGCAGTCAGACACTCAGACCCTGGCCCACAACAGCGGTGGTGGGAACCAAGAGGCAGACAGGGAAGACCTTCATTTCCCCAGCCCTGCCCCTCCGTCCCGCACTGGTCAAGTGATGGGGCGTGGGGCGGCCTCCCTGGCATGCTCCCTCAGGGAGAGAATTGGCAAGAAGGAACAGGAAACGCCTTGGTTCCTGTCCAGCTGCACTAATGACCGCCTGGGCCATCCTAACCACCTGCAAGACGCCCCTCCTGCTAGGCGATCACCTCCAAATAGCTCAGCGGATTAAAGCGCCTGCAATCGGGTGCAGGGGCCAGGTTTCGATCCCTAGGCCTGCTGTGCCAGCCCTGCCCGACCCCGACCCCAGCGTGCACTGAGATGGCAATTGAGACTGGGCATGGTGGCACACGCCTGTAATCCCAGCTCTTAGGAGGCTGTGAACAGGTGGGTCACTACAAGTCTTATCTAATAGTGAGACCCTAAACATCCTGTAGACCCTTCCCTAAAATACAAAAAAAAAAAAAAAAAGGGGAGTCCCCGGTGAAAGGGCAGGAGCACCTAGGGCCAGACCCTGAGGATGCGGGTCCCCAAGGCTGATGGAACAGCCTGCCGTCAGAGTCCATCTGCACCGCTCACACTGGTTCTGACCACTGCACCCCTGCCTGTCCTGACTGGCTGCCACACGGCCCAGGTTCTAAGGGGTCACCTTCCATGGGTGCTGCCTAACCCTCCCAAGCTGGTTCATGGAGGGTATAGGGTACAGGCTTGACCCTTGTCCAGCTCAGAAACTCCTGGTTCCCAGCCCCTTGGTGATTCCCCGTCCCACACCCATGCACCAGCCAGCGCCCCCTGCAGGTATCCCCTGGACAGTGCGCCAGGGCGTTCTCCCCAGTCCTGTATGAGGACCCACTCATCTTGGCTTGGCTGAGCCAAGCAGCCATGTGGGCTGTACCATTAAACTCACCTGTCCCGACTTCAGGACATCAATTCTTACCTCCAATGCTGCTCATCACCTGCTGGCTGACTTTGCCAACACTTATCAGGCAGTGAGGCGCCCAGGGCCCTCCTCTAGGCTCTTGTCCACGCAAAGAATCGGATGGGAAAACCAACGGACATAAAAGCTCAGCATTTATTTAAGATTAAAGAAGAAAAAGAAGTGAAAAGAGAATGCAAAGAAAAGTGCTCTGAAGATAAGATATGCCTTGTACTCAGGGCGGCCACTGTATGAACAAGGGGACAGCGGCCACAAAGTCAAGGGCCACCACATTTTATGTCATCTTTCCATGTCAAATCCAAGCTGTACACCCAGGGCCCCAAAGCTGCTCTGTCCGTGCATCCAGGCCATTTGCTGGGTCTCTGGGATCGACAGGTTATGCCTGACTGTCCAGCCAGCTTGCCGGGCATTAACCTCTTACCTCACTGTGCCAGGGCATGGGACCTGAGGCTGCTAAGGGGTTTTCTACCTCTAAGATGGGTGATAGGACATTTTCCCAGGTCCAGTGGTCAGTGCTTGGGATGTATAAGGATGCAGTGATGGACACTGAGTGTGGGAGCCAAAGTAACTTTCATATTGCAAAACCCCAACACCTGATCGGGGCAAGAATCCTATTCCCAAGAGTTTGGAAGCTACCAGTTTCTCCCACTACTCAGGGACCAAAGACGAGAAAAAATGGAGCTCGGGTTGGTAAAACACGGAGAACTTAACAATCTGAATGCATCTTAGGGGCTAAGTCTCCTAAACAGGGCTTCCACCAGGGAGCAATCCACAGGGCCTCAGTGACGATCTGGAGGGAACCTTCAAAGAAGCATGGCTGACATTTTGGATTTGCCAGAGTAGCCGTAAAATCACTGATGTTGTTACAAAATGCGACTTTCAAAGTCCTGAGAGTGGAGAGGTCCCTGCAGGAGACCAGCAGAGAAGGAAGCCCATGCCCTAATTTACTGTAAGAATGACAGCTGCAGAGCAGCCCTGCCCCTCAGCCCGCAGCCTGTGGTGCTAGGGGTGGGTGTGCATGAATTCCTCCCTCAGGCCCCTGTGCCAAGACAGCTGGCTTTAATCTGTTGGTGACAGACAGTCCAGCCAGTTCCCTCTGCTCGGGGAAGTTCAAGAGACCATGTGTGGTGTGATTATTTTTATAAGCAGCCAATGTCCTGGGAAACTGGTTTATGCAAACCACCAAATTCTCTCTGCTTATAAAATGGAGATAATCACAGCCCTGGCTTCCCACAGCTGCTATGACGTTTCAGTGGCTTCTGCGCATTGGTGTGCGGAACCAGGATGGAACTCGGAGAAAAGGTTTGACCCGAGCTCAAAAGAGACTGCCATGCGTGATACCCTCATCTGTACCTTTATTCACAAGCCAATATTTCACTGAGCTAAAGAGTGAATAAAAACATGAAAATGTAGATATATAATTTTAAAATAAATCATGTTTGAAAAATACAAACCAAGTCATGCAGTAGGATCGGTGGCTATAACGTCAAAGCGTTCATCCCTCAGCATGCAGCAAAGGCGAGTTCCTTCCTCGTGGCCCCAGTTTCCTCAGAACAGCCGCACCCAAACGAGAAGTGCACACAGCGCAGCTTCTTTGCTGAGCCACCTTCTCTGACTTAGCTCCTTGCCCCAAATCAACCCTATCCATCCTGAACCTGGAGTCTGCTTCCTGGGAGCCGTCCACGATACAATTCCATGGCCCGGACCCGCACGCTGGGAGCAGAGCCCAAGAACTGGACGCT